GGGGGTCAGGGTTTGAATCATAACCCTGGCCCCAGCTTCAAGGCTGAGGTTTTCTTGATTTTCCCTTGTTCTGTGAAGCCTTAAACAGGCTACAGTGACTTCCCAGTCGTATCTTTTCCAATTCATTATCCTTAATATTCTATCTGTGCAGCTGATAGTTATTCTAGCATGAGAAAAATATAATGTTTCTTTAATGACAAATTTATAATTAATACAATACTTTTATTTTCCGTCGTTTACACAAGCTTGTGTAAACGACGGAAAATAAAAGTATTGTATTGAAACACAAGCATGATGCAATTAAGATATAAGTTATAATTAATGTTATAAGTGTCATCATAAGTATGCTTGATATGGTATTTTGTTTGGTTGGAAAATTAATGTAATTTAATTAAAAAATGTATCAACTTCTGTAGTGTTGGTAGGCAGATTTTATATCATTAACAGTGCGCATCACTTTTATCATTTTAGCTGTATTTTCATTGTAATACCAGTAATAAACTTGACAGTTGAACTAATTTATTGCATTGGTAGAGGGGAGGAAACATGTAATAGATATAAATGATTTTATTTTAAATTTATAAATCCATTTTGTCTTCATCAGGCATGAAGCGTGAAGCAGATGGTGACATGGGCTCCCCACAGAAGCGGTCCCGCAGTGGGGATGACACAACTGTTCGTCTTCTCATACCCAGCAAAGTAAGTGAAGACTGTTCATTTTAAATTCAGTCTGTTTAAAAAAAGATCATTTATGCTCATAAGGTTCTTTTACATGCTGTAAATCGACGAGATAGGACCGCCGGCTTTTTACTTCACCTCCGAAGAAGTTGCATGGATTTTTATCACCCTTAAAAATCCACCGACCAAGGCCAGGTTTGAACCCGTGAACCTTGGGTCCAGTAGCGGGCACACTAACCACTAGTGCACCGAAGGTGACATCAAATAATCAACCTTAAAAGAAAAATAATGAAATGTATGAAAGATCTACAAATAAAATAAAAGCATACCCAGATCTTATCTTCCAATAATGTTGACATAATGTATGTTTCTGTTACCTGTTGGCATTGGACTGAAATATGTATGCAGTGTAATGCATATTTCTCATCACTGAGTACTACTTTTGGTTGGGTACAGTTAATTTGAAATTAAACATGTTTTTTTCTTGTAGGCAGCTGGCTCAATAATTGGGAAGGGAGGTCATAACATAACCAAGTTGCGGACTGAGGTGAGTTGCAGTAATGCTGGAACATTAAGTGTATAAATTCATCCTTTTATATTTGGAAAGTAAAGCTCTTATGTATTTACACAAAATTGAATTAAACACACTTTCCTGCCATTATTACTCTATATGTATTTAACTTCATCAAAGGCTATTAAAACACTTCAAGGATATAAAGATAGTAAGAGTATCTTTAAGATGTTGTATGATTCTGTTTTAGATGTTAGAGCCTTTGATAGAATTTGTTAAATCTTAAAAATTTATGTTTAAATCTCGGTTGAAGACACGGCACATTCACAATAAATGATTTCAATGTTTCAGACATTGTCGTCCTGACACATGAATTGCAAAGCCATTCTTGATAAGAACTACACTAAACCTCAGCTATGACAAAACACCTTTAAAAGAGCAGTACACTAAACACATATTGATCTGGATAAAAGTTGAAATCACTGTTTGTTAAAAGGAAGCCTTTTTCAGTAATTTTTTTAACATGTTTTGCCCCCAATTTTACTCCTTCCATCGCCCTCTGAATGGTTCATCGTTGGTCCCTGATTGGTCCCATATCTGACCGATGGTACGATGGCCCCGCCCTTGCCCATTCTGCTGCTCATCGCTGCCCCGTTGGATTGAATGCCCGCCCGCCCGCCCTGCCTGTGAATGGGAATTATGCCCCCATCGAATGGCAGTACAAAGCCTCAGTTACTGTCCCTGATTGCCCCGGGCCTGAACGGTAAATTCATCACATATTTATATTAGGTTCAGTTTCTGTTACCTACTCCATGTGGCTTGGCTTGGTGACCCCTTTAGACACAGCACTCACAATAATTGCTCGTAGTGAAAAGAATTGAGGTTTTAATTTAAACTGGCTTCAGTTTTCATTGCTTATTATTTCTTAGTATGATTGAAATCTTTTCATTAAATATTACATGGATGTGAAATTACATTTTGAATTTACAATTTTTAAATATATAAAGAACTAAATGTAAATCTGCGTAACATCACAGAGAGATTCAACACAGGTATCATGATGTAATTAATTTATAGTCCAGTTAGTAGTACGCACCTTTGACGAGGTGCTGTACTGTGATTTGCTTCTCAGCCCATTTTATATTTTGCTGACCCCACAGTAAAGGATTAAAAATTGTAAATACAAAAGTAAGGATTATTATTGTCTGATGTATTGATAACAGTTGGAAAGGTTTCATGACATTCTACTCACTACTGGCCCAGACATCTGGAACAAGCCACTCTTCACATTCCCCGTGTGTGTCTAGAGATGGTCCAAAATTAGCAAGGCGATATGTGTACGGTATCTGGAACAAGACCTCCCTTTATAAAATAACCTGCTCTGGGTAGGTGTTAATAGGCCTATTCCAGTCCAAGATTCTTTAAGGTCATCATGCTATAGATATTTTGGGCTGTGTTTGTAATTACAGTATATAATAAGCTTACTAATGTGTAGCCCAGGGGGAGACAATATGGAATCAGTCTGACAAAGGGTTGCCACCTTTTTTATTTGTATTAAATTAACTGTAATGTACTGTACTAGTAATCTTGTAAAAACAAGAATGTAATAATGTAGTCATAATTGTTTGATTTTAGAGTTTCCTGAACTAATTACCACATTTAGCCTTTATCTGTTACAAGGGAATAATTTCTGATATAAATCTCTTGAAATTGATAATTTTCTCTGCAATATGCAGTAAATCCAACGAGTTTGCTCTTTCTTGGGTATGGTTTATGTACTCATAAAATATGATAGGACACAAGTAGCATGATCCATTACATTATTACTAGCATTACAAAACAGTCTGTATTCTTTTTAAAACATGTTTTATTAAGCATTTTTATCTCAAACTCTTTGTGGTTCATTGTAATGTAACTTCACTCATTTTCACTAATATGGCGTTGACCATTCTTCAAAATAAGGTTAATGTGTGTATTTGTGCACAGTATTTGGAGTTGTGGATACACATGATCTGTGTCTATCGACTTTCAAAGCATTTTGAATCTACAGCACATGGAAATGTCATTATGTGGGTTAAATGTGGCTGACATTATGGTACTTTTCTAGTTTTATTTTTCCAGTAACAGTTTGTCCAGGAAACTGAACCCTGTCCTCAAGTTTATTCTTCATGCATGCATATAAGTACATATTGATTAAAATAGCCTAAGCCCACACGCATACTGCAAACGAAAAAGAAATTTGGCAACATCTGTTCATTGTATCTTGTATCATCCATATAATACCCATGAAGAGATGTTGACAATGTAAAATAATTAACATCAGAACAAAGAATTTATTAAAAAGAACATAGGTTACACCACTAAATTAATGTTCTTTCTCTAATTCTCTTATATTTCTCTGGTGAATTTTCTTGTCTTATTTTCACACTTTTTCAGTTATGATGGGCTATTACACAGTATCACAGTCATGGGATTTGCCTCCCTGTGAGTCATGTAATACATTGAGAATATTTTAGATTATAGGTAAGAAATCAAAGCATTGTCATTTACATTGACATGCAGGTATGGTGGCAACCCTTATGTTATTTCCCTTACATATATGTGTATTTGAGCGTGCAGAGAACTTGTTTGGTTTTCTTTGTGTTGTTTCCAACCTTTTTGAAACTTCATATTTTATTTGCTAAATACTGGGAATGAATTTATTCAGAAGAATGTGTGAGTGTGTGGGGTTGACTGTATTTCTAGTCTAGCCCTGGAAAGTACGAGCTAAGATAGTAAAATAGAGATATGTAGTTTTCTCATATCATCTTTAAAAGGGACGTTCCCTCGCATAAGAGACATGTCAAACTGAAGCCTATATGTGAAGAATCCATTTTCTCAGAAATCTCAGAGTTATTGTATTATTATAGGTTATTCCAATATGGGTGACCAGAGATTGGCTGGATTTACTTTATTTGGGTTTATCTATAAGATCTTACAGGACCATTTGTCCCGAAATATAAATATTTTTGATACTGCTAAGACATTGTTTAAATTTTGTGTTTATTAACATTTTTACACATAAGACACTTTCAGTACTCTTACAAATAAGTATTAAATAGACTTGAATATGTTGTTACTAGATCAGCAAATTAAGCCTGTGTGTTATTTTGGAATGAATTACTTTTAGTGATAATATAGAAGTAAAAGATCTCCAATTTACAAGGGATGTCCACAGGCACCTGCAAACACTTTCAAGATTTAGCTATTTGATATGGGTTGCTTGTAACAGGAAGTGTTTTTTTCCCCCTTCGTGTGTGTCTGCGTGCGCACACATGTGGAAAGTGGTACAAGGCAGGAGACTTCATGACTTGTACGAGTGATCTACTTTTATGGTTTGTCAGTAAAAATTTGATGCTTCGAATATACTTTTACGTATGCAATAATTTTTCAAGCTTGATGCTTCTGGGTCTGATAAAGCCAAACTGTCTTAATTTTATGATGTGAAGCTTTCGTGGTAGCTTTTATTAATTAAGTCTTCTCGGGCTATCAGCCGTGTTAGATGGTGATTAATCGCTGACGTTTCGAGGATCATCTCTGTCCTCATTTTCAAGGCTGATGGCCCGAGAAGACTCTATTAATGTCTTGATTTTATCATACCAAATACTGATTTTTACAGACGTCTCTACTCAGGAGCTTCAGCAAGGCTGAATTTGAGAATAGTTGAAGCTATAAGGTTCCCAGGTACTGCAATCTGTTGAAAGGGTTTGTGGA